TGTCACACAGGGAAGAGCTAGCCATCCAGCAGGCCTCAGCTGCACTCGGTCAGACCAGAATGATGACACAGGGATGGAGAAGGCTGGTGCAGGGCACCTGATGCTGAAATACTAACCTGCAGCCACACAGCAGTACTGAGACAGGAAGAGCAAGCCTGAGGTTTACAGAAGCCTGAAGGTTATTAGCTCAAAAAAATTTCCTCACGGTGGGGCATGGGGAGAGAGCTCAGTCACTAGGAGCACTGGCTGCTTTAGCCAAGGGCCTGGATTCAGTTTCCAGCACCCACATGGTGGTGCATCTGTAATTCCAGTTCTAGGGGATCCATTGCCCTCTTTGGGCCTCATGGGTACTGCACATACATGGTGCACAGACATACATATGCAGGCAAAATACTCATACACAAAAAAACGAAAATAAACCTTAAAAAAAATTCTCCAAGAGGCACACCCACCCAGACAGGACATTCACACTAGCAGTAGATAGGGCAATGAATAATTTCCTCCAGCACAGTATATGACCAACCAACAAGGGAGGGGAAGAGAGAATTGCCTGGGACAGGCTATGCAAGGCTAGAAGAGGCAGGTGGAGATCTAGGGGACCGGGTTCTCTGACTCTCTCCTGTCACAGCTCAGTTTCCACCCACTCTCTGGTCAAAACCTCGACAGAGTACTGGGATACCCAGACTCAGCCACTCCTGCCTTGGAAGAGCCTCAGAAAAGGACACTGTTGGGCTCCCTTTGAACTCCCTGCTGGAGTCCACGTACTAAACTTGAGCTAGAAGAGGACCCTCATGTTTACCAAGGTGCAGGGGCAGAACATGTGAAGAAGGCTGGTGCTCTGGACGCACCCACAGGCATGAAGCCTGCTCCGGCTACCTGGGCACATCCGCAGGCATGGAGCCTGCTCCGGCTACCTGGGCGCACCTGCAGGCATGGAGCCTGCTCCGGCTACACTTAAAAATGGGTTTCTAAAGATTTGTTCCAGTTTTATTTCTATTGCTAACTGATAAGATACTATGACAAAAGAGATGTCCTATTTTTCAAAGCAGGGTTTCTCTGTGTAGCCCTGGTTGTTCTGAAGACCAGGAAGGCTTCGAACTCAGAATCTACCTGCTTCTGCTTCCTGAGTGCTGGGATTAAAGGCACATGCCACCATACCCAGCTCAAACATAAACTTAACTTTTATTAGGTGATTTAGCATCATTTTGGACTGTAAGCATCCCAGTTCCACCATGGGGGCATCTCAAGACCTGAATGCTAATTTTAGTGGTAAGATAAAGCTTTCTCAGGGCTGCTAGTGAACCAACCATTCACAACCAACCAAGACAGCAGATCCCCACGTGGCTCACCTAGGTCAGAAGAATCCTCCCTCGACTCAGCAAATCTACCACTGTGGGATGCAGGATGGGGCCCAGCTCATTGGAGGGCCTTTCTCTTCCCAGCTCTGCATGTGAGCCTCAGGTCTGGCCAACCCGCCTTTGGCTGAGGTCTGGCGAGTTAGGCAACTCATTAGCAGGTACTGATAATGAGACCCTTGGAAAAGTCTGAGTGCTTGCCTGTCTAGGTAGAGCAGAAAGCAAACTTCACCTGACAAGCAGAGTGATCAGAGAGCTTTAAACCCAACAGGCGACATCGGTGAGGGCAGGCGGAAGCATTAATAATTGATTACATGGGTCGTTCTGGGCTTTGCATTTTAATAGCTTGGCAAGAGAGTTTTTATTAGTCAGGCTCAGAAAGAACAAGAAGGCCTTCTCCAATTAACCACTGCAACTTGTCCAAGTACCCTCCCCTTTCTGTCCTATTCTGATCTCCCTTCAGACACAGCTAGGAACAGAGGGCTTCTGGACTGTGGCCAGGATGGGTAGGGTCCCTGGTGGAGATGGTGGTGGCAGCTACCACACACTGGAGTGAGTACTCACCGCTGTCGTTGTTCCAGCGCAGGTGGTTGATCATGAAGGTGATGGGATCCTCCGGCTGGTGAATCAGGACCTGCTCCAGCATGTTCTGTGGGCACAAGCAGATAGCAGGAGATTAGCACCTGCAGGGCCCCTGGTTGCCATGGAGATCACCTAGTGGGGCATCTGCTGGGGTCGCTGGCAGTAGAGGCCTGAGGAAGTCTAAGCAGCAAGCCCCCCCCCACCCCTTCCCACATAAGCCTTCCCTTGGTCCTGCACTGTTGCCCTGATGCAGGGCCGTAGCGATAGGTGGCCTTCCACACAGAATGCTTCCTGTTCCTTGACCATCAGATCACGGTGCACCCAGGTAAATCCCTGCCGCTCTACACTCCTGCATAGGCCTGCTATGTGCACCTGTGGTCCCTGCCTCACCTCACACCTGCTCTACCACTCCACAGGTTCTGGAGTCCTCCCTGTCTGCACAATTACAACAGGTGCCCAGCGCAGATGTTAGCTGCTCCACAGTGGGACAGGATACTTGTCAGCCAAACATGTAAAGTCTTGAGTACCCTGGCCATTTCGTCCAACTGAGCACGCGTATCTGAAAAAGCAATTGTCAGGGTGGCACCAGGGACCTGGAGAGTTGACAGGAGCTAGGCGGCAGGGCGGGTAGGAAGGGGCTTCTGCCTATGAGGACAGGTGTGTGGGGCAGTCAAGAGCACCAATGGGAAGCCTCATTCCAGCGCACCTCTAGAACTCACCAGCAATTCCCTTCCCTTCTTAGGGACTCCGCTCCCCTCCCCTCACCACCCACCCTTTGTCCAGTGGCACAGCTGGGCTCCCTCTGTGCTTGGGCATGTGGCTGCTTGCTTCTTGGCTAAGACGTTGCATAGATAGTGCATCCGAAAAGCACACACAAAACGCCAAGAGTATTTCTCAGGACAAGACGAAAAGAAGCTGAGTCCGTGCCTGTGAACTGAGCTCTGGAAATGGTGGCAATGTGGGTGAACAGCAGTGGATCTGTGAAGCCCGTAGGATCCACAGCCATCTGATAAAATTCCACAGAGCCAGACACACTACTGCAGATATCCAAGTGCAGGGGAAAGGGGACACGATCCAGTACCTGCTTCCGCTTCATGGCTTTGACGACACCCACGTTAGATGGTTCAAGGGCTGGCAGGAAACGAACACCATCTTTATAACTTCCTAAGGCTAACATTAGTTGACAATAAAATGTGTTTTCTCTCTCTCTTTTTTTAAGGGAATGATCAAAACAGTGGGGACACTACTCAGATGAGCTTAGGCTTTCTTGGTGATTGCTCCATCAGGACAACTAGAAAACAGGTCAGGGTCATCAATCTCCCCGTCCCATAGCTGCTTTATTTGTGAATGGCCACTCTCTGTTTCCCCTCACCAATAACACATTCCAAAGGAAGCATGCTGGCTGGAGACTCTGGTTCCTTGGCCTGGGCTCGGGTCACCATGGCTCTGTTTTGGGGGGCTCAAACACCTCAGATTGTAGAATAGGGTACTGGACACTGAGCTGTACTTTACCCTTGGCCCCCAGAATCACTGAGTGCCTAAGAGCTTACCAGACCAGCTTTTAAACGCCGTTTGCACTTGCGGGGAGCACATGTGGACCACACAGAGGTGGTGACAGGGTTTGGCCTACGCCACAGAGGGTCGGGAGCCAGGATAAGGGCTTTGGAAAGGCCAGTTCTGAAGATGGAGACTAGGTAGAAAATAGGCTGCCTTAGAGGAAGCCACCGGATAGGGATGCCATCTTGAACTTGGACAGCCCATGAACCTGTCCCAACAGGAATGAGAACATTCTAGTGAGACAAAATACACGTGTCTCCTCCCTTTGACTGACAGTTGAGACAATGGTCACTGAGAAACTTGAACTTCCCAGGAATCTCATGCTGGGAGAAGGAAAAGGTTGAAGCCTGATGCCAACCAGAGATTCCATATTGTTCTTATAACTTGTCGGACCAGCTTGCAGGAGAGAATGGACCTGGGACAAAGAAGGGTCAGTGATGGGTGGGACCACACGATTCGGTTGCTCAGATAAACGCTCCTCTTGCCTTCTAATCTAAAGCTCAAGTCTGGACCCCAAAACAGAATCTAGCGGGAGGAGATCACCAGACTTTTATGTGTTCCTCGTCCCAATATGGTCACATGGGACAAATCTTTCTCTTGCTTGTTTCCTGAACTGTTCTTTTGAAGTCAGGTGGCTGATTCTACCTTGTTTGGGCTGCCAGTTTGGTAAGACCCAAGGCTCGGTCACCACAATTCCAAATGAGACCCTGGAGACTACCGCAGGATTTCATAAGTGGAGAAACTGAGGACTACCACTCCCCCCCTCCAGCCTCCCCTCCGACCGTGCTGCTAGCCTGGCCCCTGAAGTCTTTTTGCCGCACTCCCCACCCGCGGTCGCCCGGCCACCCAGTCACACCTGCATCATCTCGAAGATGTGGTTGTCCTCCCCGTACTGAAGCATTTCCGGGGGGATGAGGTGTGGGGCAGTAGTCGCATCCATATCTCGGACTGCTTGCCGCTCCCTAGTAACCGCGTTGCTAGGACGCCAGGCTGTGCGTCATCGGTGCGCGCCTCCTCTGGGGCAAGTTCTGGTTCCCCGTTCCATCCATTGCAGCCCCGACTGCAGTAGGCGCTCCTTCCCCAGGGCAGAGGGACGCCCGATGGGCCACAGCGCAAGGACTCCAGGACGCCCGTGGGGTCACAGTGCAAGGATCTCAGGATGCTTCAAGAGCGCACAGAGCAAGGACTCAAGGATGCCCCAAGGGGCCATCACGTGAAAAATCCCACAACGCCCCAGGGTCCACAGCCCTAGATCCCCCAGGCCCTCCTGAGAGAGATCCCAGAAACCTGCTTCTGGTGCAGCCACCGTGTGAACCTGGGCGCTTAGGGTCCAACCCTGACTCTGCAGCTGGACCTCAGTTTCCCCATCTTTAAACGAAAGACGCTAAGCGCAGATACGGATCTGCTAAGCAGATGTGGATCCGGTATCTGCAAGAGCAAAAGTCATCTGCAGCCGGGGTCAGCCGGAACCTGGGCGGATCTCTTGGTTTAGCCGGGCCATGTGACCCGATTGCCATGGCACCTGTGGTCACAATCGGCCAGGGCCGCCTGGTCTTTGAGGCCTCGACCCCGCCCACTCCCGCTTCCCCAAGAATTGAGGTGGGCCTTTCCGCCCTCCGGGGCCCACACACCCACGGAGGCACTCCAAGCTTCAGGGCACTCAGTGAGGCGAAGGCCGGTATGAATCGAACCAGGGTAAAGGGGGCTGGGACGCCACCCTAGAGCTGCATCGAAAACACTCGGGGAGTGATGGGACAAGAGGCGGAGAGGTCCTGGCCTACAAGGGGAAAGCTGGTTGCTGGGGAAGGGGCAAATGTGGCAGCTTGTTGACCAAGAGGGAGGGAGGCACAGCCTACAGGGACAGCCCAAAGTCCAAGTGCTGGGTGTGTCTGAATATCCATGGTGAACTAGACAAATCTGCTCTGGGCCTCAGTTTCCACTCTGAGCAATGGGGGCAGCTGGAGCATTACCCCCACGTCTGCTCTGAAGTAGTGAGCAGTGACTGGCCATTGGAAAGTGGGCAGAATGGGCCTTCCGTCTGTGGTGGTATCTCATTTAGTCTTTAGACTAATCTTGATCTAACCTCAACCACTTTGGACAGCAGTAACCCCACCCTTACAAGTTTTATTTGTATTTATGTATATATGGGTGGGGCAGAGGAAAAGCAGAGGCCGGAAAAGGGTGTTCGGACCCTGGAGCTAGAATGACAGGTAGATCTGGGTGCGGGAAACTAAAGTCAGGTCCTCTGGAAGAACAGCAAAGGCTCTTAACCACTGAGCCATCCGTCTCCACCCTCTGTAGTTCTCTGTTTACATGGGTCAAGAATCAAGTTAGGTTTGCTTCCAGGGGTTCCTGGGCCACTGCACCAGGCATAGTCAAATGAAAACCTTTCTTCTCAGCATACAGGACAGGGCAGAGGAGTTGGCCAGGTGACTTTGGGCAAGTCATTTCCTCTTTCCGGATCTCTTCCCCGATCAGCTGCTGGGCAGAGAGTGGAAGTTCTGATCGCTTGAGGAGTTTTGAACCAAACTCCCTCTCTGGGCAGAAACAGATTGAGACTTATGGGAGGGGAAAGTCTTGCCGAGGGCTATGGGTAAAATCAGAGGCAGCCCCAAGGCTGGCAGCAGGCATCCTGGCCTGGGATTGTGACACTTGCCCCTGTCCCCATGACTGACTGCTTCCTCAAAGGCCTCAGGCCTTGGTAGACTGGTCTGCCGGGGAGCAAAGAAGCTTGTCTCCCCAACAAAGAATTCAAGAGCCGAGCTGCAGCTTGCACTGGGGAGGTTTGGTGTGCTTCCTGGACATTTCTGAAGTGGCTTTCGTTTCTCCTCATTTATTTTAAGCCCTAGGCACTTTTCATACCATGATCTAATCTTCTTTAGCAGCCTGGAAAAATACAAATCAATTAAAGCCTAAAACCTACGGGGTAATCACTTTTCCCTCCCTCCTCCCCCCAGAGAGAGGAGCGCCTGCATTCGGGTCTTTCATCCACTCTAATTTGACTGCAGAGGCTTGTGTTCAAGGGACAATCACTTTGGATAGCTTGTTACAGCCCCTTTTGTGACATCCCTGACGTGTGCGTGTCACAAGTTGCTAGGATCAAGAACTGAGCCAGGTTTGCTCTAGGGGGCTCATGGGGACACAGCAAGTCAGTTAGCACTGTCTCCTTGGAGAACCCAGAAGCCCAGAGAGGGTGGCAGGGAGCTGAACACACAGGAGGCAGCCCCATGAGTGTTAGCTAGTCCTCATTGCCCTGGGATAGGAGTAGAAGAGAGGCCCAGGGTTGAGCTAGTAATGGGAGACCCTAGAAGTGACTGGGTAACTCTTCAGATCCTTGGTAGATCTCCCCCATTCCCCAGCCGCTACAGCCAACCCGATGCCTGCCATCTTGTCTCCAGGGAACATAAGAGAGGGAGGGGAGGGAGAATGTGCTAGAAGAGCTCACTGAGATGTGACAGACCCTGCTTGTGCTCTTCCTAACTGTGTGGTGTTGGTCTCATCCTCTGATCATCCTACGTGATCATTGTGGTCCCTTGTCCTAAACTGTGACCAGGGATTGAAATGACGCATGCCCAGGGCTTTCCAGAACACCACTGAGAGGCTGTTCTCATCATCAGACCAGGGCAGATGTCTGCAGGCCTCTGCCCTGCGGATGCCCCTCTGGCAGACCACACAGCCCTGGCTTTCATGTGTCCGCCCTGCCCACTCTGAGCTCTGCCCTGACCTCTCCCCGCTCCAGTAGATTCATCCAGGGCAGGGCCTCATATACTGTGTCCGTTACTGCAGAGTCCAGCACCGGACTGCATCTGGCACAGGGAAGGAAGGACCAAGTGTGGTGTTCATCCCCACCCTAAGGCTTAGATGCCTTCAGCAGTTCTAAATACCCAGCTTGACCTAAGGGTCTCTTGGCCTGGCCTTGTCTTACACCCCTGCCCCTTAGCTGAGTACACTGCCCACCTGCACACCTTCCTTTCAAGCTTAGAGTTTAACCCCTTCACCAAGGAGGATAAGCTCCTAGCAGCCCCCACTTTTCTTTAGGTACTCAGCACACCTGTGGTGGCAGTCCCCTGTCCCCTGCATGCCAGGTAATCACAGTAGCTCTGAGTTCTGTTGTAAATGAGCCCTGCCTTCTAGGCTCTGGGGTCCCTGTCATCTCAGGACATGCCTTACCCAAGGCTGGGTAGCTGCTGTGTCTCCTTCTGTATGTTATAGAGCACAAGCTCAGAGACTATTGTCAGCTGAGGTCGGTAGACAGGGTGACAGGATCTGAACCCAGGACCCATGGTAGCAGAACAGCCTTGACTATTGTCATACAGCAGTAGGCCGCACAAGCAGAGGGCAGGCTAAGAAGGCACAGTCTCCATCTCCCTGGACAGCCACCACCGGGCATCTCTGACTTTCCTAGCTTGTGGCTTGAGTCATTTGTAAGTGCTAAGCTGGAACAGGATGGGACAGTCATCTGTGAATGTAACACGGGGGGCCCTGAATCTCAACAGCCAAGACAGATACATTAATGCAGTGTTCTTCAAAATTCAAAACAAAGCCAGGCAGTGGGGGTGCATGCCTTTAATCCCAGAACTTGGAAGGCAGAGGCAGGCAGATTTTTAAATATTTATTTTCTCTTTTGAATGGATGCATCTTTAAATTTTGTCTTCCTCTCTTCACCCTCAACCTTTCCCTGGTGAGTCAGAATTCTGAAGAGGAACAAGAGAAAACCTACTGTGCCCAAGTGAGCTATTCTGTCCCACGGGGAAGAGACTGAGGGCATGGAAGACGCCCAATAGACAAGAATTTCAGCCCACAGCATGCAGAATGCAGAGTTCAGGAAGGGGCTGCTCTCTCCAGGGGGCTGACTTGTACCAGGCCAACCAGGGCTACAGCTACTCCTAGCTGTTGGCAGACACAGTGAGGGACCCACTTGGGTTAATGGGGTAGATTTTGGGACAACCCTGGGTCTCTTAAAGGCCTCCCCTACAGTCATCTCCGAGCTCTCTCATTTGCAGACAACATCCATAGAGACCTGTACTCTGGTCTGGTCTCAGTTTTTACATTACTGCCCTTTATTCTGCCACATGGCTGCCTTTCCAGCTCCACCCTGTCCTCACGAGGAAGCTGTGCCCCCTCTGCTTCAGCATCTTGGAATAGCCTTGGCTCATGTGACACAGGCTGGCATGCTGGAACCTGGACTCTGTGTGCTCTGGTGGGGGGATGTGGAGCAGTGAGGATGTGTTTAGGCCTCAGGAAACCTGGGGGCCAGGGGTCTGTGGCACAAACACACTGGAACTCCTTATCTCTAGGCCTCCATACAACCCCTGAACATTACTGGGTATGGGCTGCTGAGGCTCCTTCCAGCTCAGACATTCCCTAAAGACTAAGCATTTTGCTCGAGGTCAGTAAACCCTGGCAGCATGGACTAGGGCACCCCCTCACCTCTCTGCCCATGGAGGATTCTCAGTGCTTGAGGATAGTCAGCATGACATCAATGATGGTCCCTGGGCTGCCCTCCCTGCAGATGGCTTCACTGATCAGATAATGCAGATTAACATAAGACAGGGGAGGGGTCTGTACCCACTCCTGCCGTGGAAACCTGCAACCTAAGGCCGGGGCTTCTGCCCCACGTCCGGAGAGACAGACACACAGAACAACCAAGTTCTGACTCTTTCCCCTACTTAGCTCACAGGGAGAATTCCCAGACTCTCGGCAACTTCACTGTGGTAGAATTTTAAAAAGAACCTGATATGTTGTTGGTTTGGGATGTTATGGCATGTCCCTGTATCCCAGGTTCTGCCACAGGAGGGGACCTGGATGCTGTGTGTGCACGTACACTCGAGATTGTGCGTGTGTGTGTGTGTGTGTGTGTGTGTGTGTGTGTGTGTGTGAGCATAGACTCTATGATCTGGAGACCCTGAGGACAGAGAAACTGTCCCTAGGTGAAGGAAGCCACAGTTCATGGCAGACTGTGTCCTCGGAGGGTAAGCAGACAAGGTCAGACTTGGTGCTGTGGTAGACAATTTGAAGGACCTAGAACAAACATGTGCCTTCCAGGACCTGCTTCCTTTCCACAAAGTAGGGACACATTCCTTTGGGAGGGCACTTTCCTCCAAAGCCAAATGGAAGTCCTGACCTCTGGGACCTCAAGGCCCCTCTTCTTGCTCCCGACAGACCCTTGCCGTCCGTGAGACCCGAGGGCCACAATGAACGAGGTGAAGGAGAGTCTCCGCAGCATTGAGCAGAAGTACAAGCTCTTCCAGCAACAACAGTTCACCTTCATTGCCGCTCTAGAGCACTGCCGGGAGAATGCCCACGACAAAATCCGGCCCATCTCCAGCGTGGGACAGGTGAGGCCTGGCAAGCAGGGTGCTGGTGCAGGACGGGGGAGGGTGTTCTTCCCAGCCCGGTCCCCATACCCAAAACATGAATGGTGGAGCCCTAGAGAGGAGAATTGCATGTTATTGTCTATGCCAGCTCAGATTCTAATGGATGGAAACTGTCCCGCGGTGAGCACCACCTATCCGATATGGCTCAAGACTCAGCCAGCTTGGCTGTAAGTCTGCCTGGCACCCTGTAGCCTTGGGCTGGTGAGCATATCCCACTAACCTCAGTTTCCCCACTGGGAAGGCACATCTAATGATAGCATGCCTGGAAAAGCCCTGACCCACACCAAGCACTCAGCGTCTGGTGTCACCTACGAGCCCTAGGCTGGGCACCGGGGGTTTGCTGGTGAGCACACAGATAACGGTCCTTCTCAAAAGATTCTGCCACAGACTGGCACCTGGCCCAGCTCACTGGCGGAGGTTTTGCAGATACTTTTGTTTAACCCTTTTTTTTAAAAGCTGAGCTATTGTCCACGTTTTCTCGGTGGGGGCTGGAGGTCTTCCAGGAAGTCACTGGGCAGCTAGGAACATATACACAAGCTAAATCCTAGAACTAAAAAAGAGGCCCCTGCAAAGAAGTCACACCCCCCCCCAAAAAAATGCCTGTATAAAGGGGGCTGGAGGGTGGGTGTGGTACAGGCTCCAAGTACCCGGGAGAAATGAGACCACCAGCAACCTTTGCCAGAAACTTCCTTTACATTCTTTATCTAAATTTTGGGAAAATGTCTTGTTTACTTGAAAAAACACTGACCCCCCCCATGATGAAAATGCTCCGTGCAAACTGAATCCACGCCCATCCGTCTATCACAGTGGTCAGCTGGTCCATGCTCATGCCCTGAATCTACTGGAAGAGCAGCTGGCCACATCCCCACAGTAGCTCAGCCTTCCAAGGGCATGGGACAGGTTTTCAGTCTCTAATAGTGGCCCAAGTCCACTTCCTGAGCACCTGCTTGATAGAGCTTCCTACCTTAGGTGCAGAAGGGATGCTCTCAGATCCATCTACTGTCGAAGCACCCTCCCCCACCCTAAGAGGTCACTCTGTTGTCGTCACGCCTTGATGCAGTCCCCGCCCCAGGTGCCTGGACAGGTGTGTTGTCAGAAACCTCTACCCCTTACAGGCTGGGGAGAAATCCCTTCAGATCACTAAGAAATAGAGTAGCCCTGTCTAGACAGAAACAGTTTGGAGTGTCAGAGGAAGCAGAGGTACCCCCACCTTTCATGACTCCACGGAGAGTAGCAGCAAGCTGTGGAATGATTGAATCCATTACTCAGGCCTGTAGCATAAGACCAGCCATCTACCTTGCCTATGCTTAGATGCATAGAGTGGTTCTGAGTAACTGGCAAAAGACCCATTGAGGGGTCCCTACCCCTAATCAAGGAAACCTTGGAAACCAAAACAAAATTAGTGTTCTCAGCATGCTACCTACACAATTATGGGGCATTTAAATTTACTTGGTATATGAAGTCTGGTATGAACTTGTGCCCCCACCTGCTCCCCCATACACTGGAGACAGTCTCTGAATCCAGATTGGGGTACCACACTGCAGTGTGAACTTGTGCCCCCCACCTGCTCCCCCATACACTGGAGACAGTCTCTGAATCCAGGTTGGGGTGCCACACTGCAGTGTGAACTTATGTGTTCCCCACCTGCTCCCCCATACACTGGAGACTCCAAAACGCAGTACAACCAGTCTGAAGGATTCTTGTTCCCCCTCCGTGGTTTGGGTAAGCAGGGTGGTGGAGCCCAGGTCATTGTACGAGAAGGCAAATCAGCCAGGCCACTTCTGTTGGCATCCAAGCAGGTCACTTCTCATGTCTGAACCACTAGCATTTAGGAAGTATGTAAAACAAGGGCCTAGTGTGGAGAGCTTAGGTGATGAGCAAGGGAGTACAGACTTAGGGAAGTATTTTTTTTAATATTTATTTATTATGTATACAATATTCTGTCTGTCTGTATGCCTGCAGGCCAGAAGAGGGCACCAGACCCCATCACAGATGGTTGTGAGCCACCATGTGGTTGCTGGGAATTGAACTCAGGACCTTTGGAAGAGCAGGCAATGCTCTTAAACTCTGAGCCATCTCTCCAGCCCCCGTTTAGGGAAGTATTTTTGCAATGGTGCTTGGAACACAAACATTAGCTGTCTGTCATGACCAGTATATTCGAATGCTTCCCGTCCGGCATCAAGGCTATGATCGTGGGAGGGCTGGGGCAGTGCCCTCTGTCTCTCCAGCTCCAACTCCTGACGTGTGGCCTCTGCAGGTGCAGAGCTACATGGAACACTACTGCAACAACTCTACGGACCGGAGAATTCTGCTCATGTTCCTGGACATCTGCTCGGAGCTCAACAAGCTCTGCCAGCACTTCGAGGCGCTGCACTCTGGCACCCCTGTCACCAACAGCCTTCTCGAGAAATGCAAAACCCTGGTCAGCCAAAGCAATGACTTGAGCAGCCTCAGAGCAAAGTAAGTCCCTCGTGGGTGTCGATCGGGCAGAATGTGCCGAGAGAACGGGAACCTGTAAGCTGGGCTCTCACCTGCTGGCACAGGCACAGTCTCTAATCCATCCGAGTCCTAGCACCCAGCTACCCACTAGAATGACTGACCTCATCAAACAGATGGAAAACTGGGTCACAGACATAAGAGGACAAAAAAAAGTCTCCTAGGATTTAGAACCAGACTAGGGAGAAAGTGGCTACAGAAGTGGGACACCAGAGTTACATCCCCTGGGGCTCCATGGTGACCCCAAAGAATCCGAAGCTCCATAATCCATTTTTGGGAGCTCATTAGATGTTAGTGTAAGAAGGATTAAGGTAGCTAGTATTTATTTTTTTAATTTTTTTTAGATTTATTTAATTATGTATACAGCATTCTACCTGCATGTGTCCTGTCCCTGCAGGCCAGAAGAGGGCACCAGATCTCATTACAAATGGTTGTGAGCCATCATGTAGTTGCTGGGACTTGAACTCGGAACCTCTGGAAGTACAGTCAGTGCTCTTAACCTCTGAGCCATCTCTCCAGCCCAGTAGCCAGTATTTTAAGGTGATAGGAGGTTCTCCAGGCCCTGGTCCTGATGGTTGAGAGCTCTTGCTACCTATACCAGAAGTACCTGGGGCTCTTGGCCTTCAACTTTCTGGATTAGAACACGCGGGGATGGAGCCCAAGGTATGTGTGTCTAGTTCTCACACCTGGGGTGACGGGTCTCACCACCTGCTCACTGTCCTACAGGTACCCGCACGATGTAGTGAACCACCTGAGCTGTGATGAGGCCAGGAACCACTACGGAGGCGTGGTCAGCCTCATCCCTATAGTCCTGGACTTAATGAAAGAGTGGATTGCTCATTCGGAGAAGCTTCCTCGCAAAGTGCTGCAGCACGTGAGTGAGGTCCTGGGTAGCCAGGGAGCCGCCGCAGCCACCACCAGACCTGCCCAGACCACGGTTACCCAGCATTGGTTAGGAAAACACAAGTATAGGCAGCTTGCAAAAGAGAGCCTCAAATCTAGGGGGAAAGACAAAGGCCCGAAGCCTCCCTGGAAACCACCCGGTGGGAAACTGTAACTCGCTGTCAATGTACTTGGCTTCCACGGGTCATCCATTTTCACTGGGGGCCAATACACCATTGAGAATATCCCTCTCGCGCGCGCTTTTCACTTCTAACATCTCCGCCTCTTGACTTCTGTGTTGACGAAAGGGATCCTTACTCATGGAGCTGCCTAAACAATATGGTGTTGGCAGGGCATGTCCCAGACGCAGGGTGTTGTGCTGATGCCCAGGCCTCCTGCCCAGCTGTGGCTTCTGGCTCTGTAGTGAACAACTGGGGGGGGGGGGCTACTTAGCTTCTTATCTTGACAAGGACAAGATGAGCTGCAAGGTCTCTCATGAACAAGTTAGGGGAAAGGGATCAAGAGGCTGAATTCGTTTGTGTTCAGTTCCCTGGACTAAAACAAGGGATGAATGCTCTCTCCTTCTTTGGGAGAGGGAGAGCACGGCAGAAGTCAGACTGTTTTGTGGCCCTTGAGCCTGGTCTCTGCAGCGGTCTAGTCTACCCACACTGTAAATGTGCACTTCTGACTTCTGGGCCTGCCAGAAGTGAGCTCTGACTGTTGGTTTTTCCCTTCACAGGGGACGACTTAGATTCTGTATTGTTGCTTCCTCGGGGGGAGACATTCAAGAATAAAGTGTTCTACCATTTCTCTGCCTGGCTTAGTTTCCTGGGATTTACCCGACCAAACCCAAAAAAACAAAAACCGAAAAAAAAAAAAAAACCTTGTACATGTAAGACATCAGATGACTTTGGGTGGCCACATAGGCAAAGCCCCTCCAGACAGCACCAGAGACCTCTACAGCCAAGCTCAGTGTTTCCCTTCAGAGTGGGCTGCCTCTAGGAGGCTCAGGTCACACAGGGCCAGTCTGCAGGCTTCCAAGAGTGACTTCCTTGTCTGACGAGAGACCTGTTCAGACATCCCGAGTTTTCCAGACAATCAGCCTCCTGAGGTTAAGAGCAGTGCAGTAATTCCAGGCTCCAGCATGCAGCTCACACTCTGCTTACCCCACTAAAGCCCAGGCTGAGTTGTAGGAACAAGGTGGAGGAAGAATCTCAAAATGATGTAAAGGTTATCTCTCACCTCTGCCCACTACCTGAAGAGCAGGAGGGGCATCAGGGCGGAGGTGGTGATGATGGCTGCACTGTCCCTTGGCTTATCACCAACACAGCTGGTCAGGGCTGGGTAAGCAGGAAGACTTGAGATGCAGACTTGGGTGGCCATGCTGTCGGAGGTGGTCCTCTTCACATCCTGCTCTTTACAGGGGCATGAGTTTAAGGCGGCCGAGTTATCTGTTCCCCAGCGCAAGTCCACCACCGTTCTGTACCACCACCAGGAAACCACTCCAGACAGACTGCAGTGTGTCTGGCCATCTCATTTCACCCACAAGCCCCCAAAGCCAGCATAAAATCACTCCATCTCAACACTGCGGAGTGCAAAACAATAAATCTTTATTTGTTCACAGTTAAACACAAGCAACTGCCTTGACATTTCAGAACATTCTAAGGACAGCAAGCCTTTGATTCCAATCACTGAGACTGTACCATGTTCTCCTGTAACAAGTATTTATGGCATCCGATGCGGATTGTTTGACATGCTTTTAAGGTCATAGTGGGAAAGTTTAAACCTTTTGAGAAGAGGTGACTTCCATTGAACTAAAAAATTTTTAAAAATCTGATTTTTTCACTGATGGGAACTCCCCCCACCCTTAAACTCCAAGTTAGCCATATATGGTTAATCCATGATTATAAAACTAAATTATGTCTTAGCAAAACCTGCTCCTCCATAATGTAATTTGTGGTCCAGTCTCATGAAGGGTGACCACTGAATCTTCCTAGTGCAAAGTCGCCTGCCTGCCTCTGACCTGACAGAGAGCTAACACACACCATCATGACCTCCCTTCCAACACTGTGAGGTGGGGCAGGGAGAGCGATCGGTCTAGTCAAAGACCAGCTCCAGTGGCTCAGTCAGCCCGCTTATCCAGAGGCAGACAATACTGGGGCTCTGGGAAGGGCAGGGCACTTCTTGGCCCCCATTAATTTCATTCTGAGACCCAAAGTGGTCAGGGTGCAGTTTCCAATGTAGCTGCAGATGCTTCTCTACAGCGCATTTAAACACACGGGTGAGATCAGAAACACTGCTCCCCTGGGCACACCAGGAGCTCACAGACTGGGACGCTGAATGGGAACGTGGGACAGGGCAGCAGCTCAAGGGCCAGTTCCCATTTTTACCTACACAGATAGGCTAAACCCAAGGCAATCAGTGACTGCAGCAAACTGGGGGTAGGGAGCAGGTGGGGGTAAAGGGAGGATGGAGGCACATGCCACAGATCTCTGGATGTATACAAGGACACAAACACCCTCACACTGGATGTATTTTCCAGTGTACACAGCAGTGGATTTACAGCCTTGGGGTGAAGGTGCAGCAGATGCAGGCTGCCATTTGAGTCACAGTGTGCAGGACCACTGGCTTCTGGCCGAGGCAGACTCCATACGTGCTGCCAGCAGAGCCGTGCAATGCCTACACCTCTGCCAGCTCACCCAGTGTCTTCCACCTTTACTGCTCGGGAGGACGAGCACCTTACTACAGTACTTCTGTTTGTTCTTTAGTTCTTTCTGGCTTCAAGTGGTAGGTCCCTACTGGCTGGTCTCACACCACACTACACATGGCTCGATTTCTACCCTGTCAGCCTGAGCTCTGTGCTCTGCTCTCAGGTCTCTTCATCTTCAACCACTCAACTGCTAACGTTCTCTCATTCTCCTCAGAGCACTAGAGCCCACAGATGCTGCAAATGGCCCTGAGTCTTGTCACTTGATGTGCCACCACCACCCAGGGAGGCACTGGTCACTGGCCAGAGCAGTTTGGGGAGTTTTTTTTTTTTTTTTTTTTTTTTAACCACCTGTGGCTTCCAGGACTTTTCCTGGGTTTTGAGTTTGCCTTCTAAGAAGAGTGACTCCCTGCTAACCATGCCACAAAAAGTTAGAAGCTTCTGCAGCTTAGTCCAGAAGATTGAATAGACTTTCCTCCTGAAAGGGTCAGCAAAGCTATCAAGGTCAGCATTCGCCCCTGGCAGCTGTGCTGCCTGCTCCGGGGATGCCATTTAGAGACTGCCCCTCATGTTCACGGTCATGTTGCTCTTGCTCCTAAAGCAAGTTCTTACGGACGTCAGGGAGGAATGTTAGACAGATGCGTGCTTAGTTCCTCTCCCAGGAACTGACCTGCTCCTGCACTCCAGTGGCATTGTACTGCTGCTTTTAACAGATTCCAGACTACAGGAGACATAGTCTCCAGTCTCCCTGGGTCCCATTGACAACTACAGCACAGACTCCAAGTGATTTAAGGATGGAGTCATTCAAGCTCAGCATTCACACATACCAGGCTGCCCATGACACCTACTGCTCCATACCTTGGCCTACACCACAGTTGCCTTTCAGAAGTTTCCCTCCTGACTGCAGCAGCATCAGGTGACCCACTGATCCCTGGATGCTCTGTCACTGTCCTCTAAACAGAAGCTTCCACCCACAGATTCTCAAATCCTTTGGAAAGAGTAAATGTTTAGGCTGGGCGCCTTCAAGATGATTTCAGGTCAGTCTCCCAACCTTAGTTGGAAAAAAAAAATGCCTCAACAGCCTTCTAGAACTCAAGCCACACACGATGCTCAGGTTCCGTCACTGGGTACAGAGCTCCAGCCTGTACCATGTTGCTGTCTCCTCTCCCTCAACTTCAGCACTTGTGCAGTCTGTAAGTTTTCTTTCTACTGGAAAAAGGCTTGGTTCTCTGGCACAGATCTTGTGTGTATGTGGTGGCGGGGGAAGGAGGGTTCTTAGGAGCAGTGTTTCCCCATTAACTGTGAGATCTTTTTCCCAGTCTGTTCATCTGCCCTTTTCTACAATGGATCAGGTGAGAGAACACTAGGTTTTCAGCCTTCCTCTGGGCAGACCTAAATGAAAAGCATGGCATTATCGTCAAGGGGCAATTGCTGCCCTCTGCTGGTCTGAGAATAGTCAGTGGCGTTGTCTTTCTGTGGGCTAGCTATGGCAAAGATACGGCCCTAACAGGTCTCCAGCCAGTACTGCCATGGTGACGAGTCTCACCTTACTCAGGGAATCTAGGATAATTACTGCGACACTTTAAAAAAGACGTTCATCCTCAGACTGGAAACTTCCATATGCAATAAAATTTCATACCATTAGTTTTCTTTTACCTTTGTTGTAGCTAAACCCTTCTGTTCTTTATACACTAGATAGAATAGAAACAAGAAAACCAAGCTCTTGGCTCCTTCCCAAGTGTCTCCTTGCCTGGTCCAGAATATCAGGCAACAACTCTTACACTTCCAGCATTTATTTCAGGAGCATTGGTCAAGCTTGGGCTCTCTGCCACCACCTTGTTCTGTTGGAATACGTGTCACCTCTCATGAGCATGAGGGAAGGCAGTGGTACAGGCTACCAACCTCCATCAACCCTCCCAGACTCTGAGTTGCTCTGCTGTTCCCAACAGAGGTGTCTGACATGAAGCTCCAGGGGGACTTTCTCCTGCAAAGTCAGAATTGGTGTAAAAAAGCTGCTAGAACCTACTATAGTGAGGCATTCCCAGCCGGAGAACAATTGTCACATAAACTCTAAGGAAATTCTGACTCTTCTGAGCCTGTCTGCTGCAGAATCACAAAGCAGCTGGTAATCAGAGACGTGGACGAGGAGAGGCAAACAGACTGAAGGGTGAAACCATGGCTCAGCTGGATGGGACCAGCCAAAGGCACACTTCCACATGTGCACGAGTATCCTGGGTGCCTCTCCTAGTGACCACTCCCCACTATCTGCGGACTGCAGAACGACCACCTACACAACCACCCACAGGCAGCATGGTGCCAACATTCAAGCAAATACCAAATAAATAAGAGGTAGTGGGGGAGAGGGGTAAGAGCTTTCCAGAGAGTAAGGCAGTGTGGCCTCCACAGCGCCAACTACACTATCAGAACAACTGGTATTCTCGCAGAGCCTTCTAGAAGCATATCCGAGCTTCTGAAAGAAGGCAGAGGTGAATGAGTCAGTTTCTCTACATCTGTGGCTTTAGATGTCAAACTTCAGCATCTAAAGGAGCAGCGGAAACGCTCCTGTAAAGACAATTTACTTTGTAGGCTACATCCTCCTGGAAGGGACAAAACTGGATTTACCTGCAGTGCCACTAACTGCCTGGTCTACCCAAGAGCCACCTAACTATCTGCACCTCAGGAAAGCAGAGTGGTGTGTTGGACCCAAAGATGAAATTTGGCCTCATATTGCACAGGTTCAAAGGACACAACCATTTGGTGGGAGGAAGGAAGAAAATAAAGCTACAAGGGACACACACAGGCCCTCAATTAGTACATACTGCTAGGTAAATGAAAGAGGCTGGGGTGGGGTGAAGGAAAGCATCTCAATGCCAGACCCAAAAACCATCATCCCACATTCCGCCAGCTGTCAAAAGGACCTCTGTCCCATTCCCACTGCACAAGCAGCCGCTCAGACCCTGGAAACAGAAAAGCCTAGAACGTGCATTCACACCTCCTGATCTGTGCTGACAAAGACGCAAATTAACACTGACAGACCCCCTCAGCTGTGCTCGTGATGAGTCTCATTGTAGTCCATGATGTGG